GCCCCCCGCCCCCCCTTAAAGCAGGAGACCTTCATCCACCTGTGCACAGGCTGGTGGGGCTTCTGTGGGAGCTGGGAGCCCTCGACTCTCCAGTCACTGTCGCTCTGCCCCAGCCCAGCTGCCTAGAGACCATCTTTCCCTTGAGGGTACCAGCTCTGGGGGCTGACACTGCCCTGTCCATGCTGCTAGCTTCCCTGTGCCTTTGAGCCTGCTGTAGTTGATGATGATTTTTATAATTTTTTTTTCCTTAATCACATTCCCCCTGGCAATAAAATAAATCTCAGTTCTTTAGGGCATGAGAGCAAGTTAACCCTTTCCTTGCCTCCCTGCATCCCTGCTCATGCAGGGTGTCCACTAACATAGCTTTGGCTATTTGTGGGGGCACAGTGGGGCTGGCCCAGTACACCCAGATGGTTCTGGCTTGTCCCCATCAACCTAGCAGCACCCAGCTTTTAAATGCCTGCAGCCTGGCCAGCCACCAGGAGTGGTGGTGGCAGCTTGGCCCTGAAGAAACAACAGTTTATCGGGGCTGTGTCTCCCCAAAGCTGATGTTGGGGATGAAGGGGTCACCTTCCACACGGTTTTGGCTGGTTTTTCCATAGCTGCTTTTGGGAAGGGTGGGAGCCCAGTGAAATCTTGCAGGCTGATGCAACAGACCAGGAAGGATGGAGTGGAGATGGTGTGGTAACTGCTGAGCTCCCAGCCCTGGGTTGGGCAGGGAAGAGAGGCAGGGGAAGCTGGGGACTGCCAGTGTGGTGCCAGTGGGCAAAGGACTGGTCTGTCCATGCAGTGGCTGTGCCGGGTGGTGCCAGCCCAGCTGGGCAGGTGTGTGTTCGGGGCTGAGCTGGTGGGGAGCAGGGGGGTGCCAGCCCAGTTATCCCAGGTCTGAAAGCCCCTGAGGGACTTTTCCCCGAGTAGAAGCATTTCAGCTCTGCCAGTAGACCAGGGGTTTGCTCCTGTGGGCTGGGCTGAAGCAGGGTCACAGCAGGCAGCTGGTACCTGCGGACCGGACCCTGCAACGGGATGGGTGTGTACCAGGCTGGGAGCAGCACCAGGGGTGGGATCCCCCTGGCTTGCCCTGTCCCTGCCTGCCTGCAGGGTGGGGACATCGCACCCGCCGGAAGGGGCCCCCTGCTCCTGCTGCCTGGCACTGAGGGGTGCAGGAATCTGGCCATCAGCAGGGTCGGTAGCAGAAAGCCTGGGAAGAATGTTGCCTCTCCGAGCTTTGCTGCTTCACATTTCCACCGGTTTTCGGCTCCAGCCAGGCAGGAGCCCCGAGCGCCCCCACCCTGCTCCCCAGTGCGCCTCCTGCGCCGTTTTCTGTTGACCCAGATGACAAAACCACACGGAAATCGGAAGCCGCAGAAATCCGAAGAGCTCAGGGTGCCACGGGCGGGGGCTGGGCCGGGGGGGGACGGCCACGGGAGGGCGACCCAGCCAAGTGCCAGCCTGGACCGGGAATGTCCAGGTCCCGGGGGTACAAGGGTGGGGTTGGGCGACTTTGGGGCTGCACGTGAGAAAAAGAATCGTTTATATGGGGGGTTGATGGTATCGACCCGAGGGGCGTGGAACAAGGCACAGCTGGAGCAGTGTCCCGCTCCCCGGTCCTGTCACCCAATCCCGACATCTGCCATTTATTCCAGATGAGTGTTTACCCTCGGTGTCTGGACATCCCCTTGCTCTTGGAGCAGGGTGCTCTCCACGCAGGGTGCCCACACTGCAGCGTCTGCGTGGCCAGGGCTCCAGCACCTCAAGGTGCTCACAGTGTGGGGCAGGGTGCCCAGTAGCTCAGCAGTGCCAAGGGCACACGGAGCAGGCTGCGGTGCCGCAGGGTGCCCATGGGACTTTATTTGCTTTGGGGTCGCTGGGAGGCTCCGGATACTCCCACCTCGCTGGCCGCCTGCAGCAGCACGGCCCAGTGCCGGCAGCCGAGCAGGAAACCACCGCGTCCCTCTCTGGTTCTGGCACCGGGCTGAAGGAGATTGCTGATGGGACATCAGGTGTCTCGCCTGTCCCTGCCTGCTCGGTGACGCCTACGGCTCAGTGGGGCTGGGTGGGGGCAATGGGTGCTGCCAGGCTGTGCCAGGAAGGGGTGGAGCAGAGGCTGTGTTCTCTGTCCCTCCCTCGGGGTGCTCACCCCCCGGGGCTGCCCTGAGCTCGGCTTCTCTGCCCCAGCCAGAATGTCTCTATGGGGCCTCTGCCACGGGACTTCACCACTCGGCAGAAGGTGTCGGGGGACATAAGGAGCGATGGGAGGGGAAGGTTAGGGAACCCTGAGCCCTTTGCCAGCCCCTGCACCACAGGCAGAGCCTCTGCAGTCCTGTGTAATTTATTTCCAAAGCACCCGCTCCTGCCAGCATCCTGGTGAGGTAGGTTGGTGTTGGATCCGGGGGTTGGGGTTCATCCCATTTTGCAAGAATTAATGCAAAGTTGTTCAAGGTCCCAGTGTGGCAACAGCCAGGCTGGGAGGAGGTGTCAGGGCTCCCACCTTCTGATCTGCAGTCAAGTGCCCCACGCTCCCCTCAGCCCAGTATCTTCTGGTCAAGATGCACCCCCAATGGTCTCTGCACACACCAGCCCCATGCTAGGTGTTGAACCAGCTCTCCAGGTCGGGGTAGAGGCGGCCTCGGGGCAGGCTGGGGTAGGCAGTGCAGATGGTGCAGAGCCGCTCCCTCCAGTCAGTGTAGAGCTTCACACTGAACTGCTTCTGCCAGGTGAAGAACTGCCGGTAGCGGCTGGGGGTCATGGTCTTTAGGAAGGTGGCCAGCTCTTCCAGGGAACCAAAGTCATCAACATGAATGAAGGAGTCTGCAGGGACAAACTGCTCATAGTTGGCCCGAGGAGGCCCCAGCACCACAGGAACGGTGCCAGCCACCAGTGAGTTCCTCCAGAGCTTCTCAGTGATGTAGTCCTGGTGGACAGAGTTCTCAAAGGCCAGGTAGAACTTGGATTTGGATGTTGTTGGCAAGAGGCAGTCCTTGCAAAGGGGCTTTTTGTTTGCTTTCCCATATATGTTCACGTGGAGGTACCTAGAGAGGTTTTTGTAGACTTCAGCTCTTTTCTGAGTCCTGTGGTAGTTGCTGATAACCCAGGACACCAAGTTGGTCTTCACGGGGATGTTCACAGTAGCTGACTGGTTGGGCACAAGCTTGCCGTAGGGGATGAAGATATCTGAATCCCGTCTGTAAGTCATCACCCAGTTGAAGGTCTGGTTCCATCCCGCAAGAGCTTTAGTGTTTGAGGGGGATTCCAGGGAGACCCACACCCAGTTCTGCCCTGGTGGCCTCTCCTTGGGCAGCCTGTCCCTGCCAGGCTGGAGCCGGGTGTGAGGGAACACCACCACATCTGCCCGGCCCAGGAGCTGCCTCTTCATGGTGAGCCAGCAGCCCACGATGCCATACAGCTCACGGCAAATGTCCCCGCTGATGTTGGGGACCTGCTTTGAGGGCCACTCCCATACCAGGACTACCAGTGGCTCCATGTGCTTGGAGGCTTTGCTGGAGACCTCAGAGGGGTGGAGGAAGCATTTCAGGTTCCAGAGGGTGGTTATGAACACCCCAGCGGTGACCACTGCCTTCACACCAGGCCGACCCCAGGGCAACCATGGCAGTGGTGATGCCCGGCGCATGCTACCAGGCTGATCCTTACCTTCTGGGGTGGCAGACCCCACACCTGGGAGAAAGGAGAGGCCACCAAGGGCCATCAGCTCAGCTTTGGGAGGGGGGTGGGGTTAAGGAGTGGTGGGGAGGTGATAAGGATGGAGGCAATGGAGAAAGGGCTTCTCCATGAAACCTGGGCCACAGAATCACCCCTGGCCCCTCTGCTGGCTCGTGGACCACCCAGGGTCCCCTCTGCATTTGGTGTCACACCATGGTGGGTTTTGTGTCAGCTTCCCACAGTCTCCAGTGTCCCCATCTCTGGGACAAGCAGGGATGCTGTCACAAGAGGGGCAGAGAACCCAGTGGGCAACAGATCCCTGTGTCCCCTCACCCCAACTACCTGGCACCATTCCCCATGACACACATGAGGGATGTGGTCCTTGGTACTTGCTCTGTGCCTCAGTTTCCACACCTGACTAACAGCCACAGTCTTGTTCCACCCTTCTTGCTTTGCCCAGGGCAGGTTGAGCCTGAAATGCAGCCAGCCTTGCCCCAACGAGCTCAAGAGAAAGATACCTAGGGATGTGCAGGATGGGCAAAGGGGGTTGCCCCAGAGTCCTGCCCAAATAACCCCACAGCAGGGCTCCATCTGCAAGCCAAGGTGTCCCAGGAGATGACTGTGAAATCTGAAACCTCACTCAGGGCCAGACCAGAGTGTTCTGCCCAAGAAGTGCCCCCTCACCCTAGCACACTCCTGCAGTGATGACAGTGCTCTCCTGGGCTTGGAATGGTCTCTGTGGCTTGGGATGCTCTCCCTGGCTTGGGGTGCCTTCGTGGTCTTGGAGTGCTTGGGAGAGAGGGCAAGGGGAGTTGCAGCAGGCTGGAAGCTGGCAGCCTTGGTGCCCCAAACATTCATAGATTATTTTTGGAGCGTCACAGATGGCCAATGCCCCACGGGCAGGGCAGTGCAGGCAAGGGCCACTTGGGGCTGCCCCTGGTGGGGCTCAGCCTGCAGACACACAGGAACCCTGGCTGTGAGATTCTCACCCTGCTATAGTGCCCATCTGCCATCTTGAACCCACCAGTGTTGCTGGTCCCAGGACATTCAGCATCTAAGGCTGTTTCCCTTCCCAGGGAACTTCTGAAAACCCAGCCAAGCCCCCTGCCAGTCAGAGCTGTGCTGGTTATTCCACAATTTTGGAGCCTCCTGGACAGCAGGGCCCTGCTTTTCCACCCCATCCACTGTAGCTTGGCTGAAAAATCCCCTCCCTGCCTTGGCCCACTCCTTCTGTCCTGCTAAAATACACAAGCTAAGTTTAGGCTTCAGAAAAACCTGGCACCTGAAGCGGGAAGGGCTGGAAAAGCTGTGCCAGCTCACTGCACTGCACACAGTGGCACCAGACCCCAGCAGCAGGGATGCTGCCCGCATTTTGAGGATGCCCTGGAAGGAGACACCCCGCTACAGCAGCCCCAGGAGCTAACTCCATTCCCAGCCCCTGTCCCCAAGTGCAGAGCCCAGACTCACCAGGGAAGGGCTGGTGCAGCAGTGTGCGAGGTGCCGGCACGCATCTGCCTGGGCAACTGCTGGTGCTGGGCTGGGGCACTCGAGGGCTTCCTCTTTTCTGTGGTTTTGCCTTGTCCCAGCCCCACAGCAGGTCCTTCCTGCTGCACGTGGCAGCTGGCACAGCCTGCTGACAGCAGTTCCCCGTGCCACACCACAGTGATGTGACCCATGTCTGGGTGTGTGCCTCAGAGGCAGGGGTGTGCCCACAGTGCCCCATGGCCAGGTGGGTGCCTCATGGCTTTGTGCACATCCCTTATCTCAGAGGGTGCCTTATAGGGGCATGCCCCATAGTAAGGTGGTTGTCCCATGGCTTGGTGGGTGCTACACGGCAGAGCACACACTCCATAGAGGTGTGGCTGGGTAGGTGCCCATGGCTGGTGCATGCCCTGTGACTGCCCCACGGCTGGGTGCGTGTCCTCTGGCTGGGTGCACGCCCCATGCCAGGGTGGGACACTGTAGCCCAGTACATGACCCATGGCAGGTGCTGCCCCATGGCAATGCCCTGGCACCCCCAGGAGAGGCTCCTGGTGCTGGTGCTGCTCTGTTGCTCCATCCCCTTGTGCTTCCTCTGTCTAGATTGTGGCTCCTCGGAGAAGGAGCATGTGGCCCCAGTGGGATTTCAGCTCCCCAGAGGGGTTTCTCACGTGCCAGGTTTGAAACTGAACTCAAAACATGGCTCCTTTCTGCCAAGACCTCTCCAGTCCCAGCTGCCAGCCACAGCGCTGATGCCCTGGCCCGGCTGCGGTTTTCCGTGGTCCCCATCCACTGTTTGCTGGTGGAGCCATGGCCATGTGGGGGGAAAACTCCCATGGAGGCTGTGCTGAGCCCATGGGGCAGCTCTGCTGGCTGGCAGCCTTGTGCCAAAGCACACCTCACAAACTAGAATTATTATTATTGAATGGATAAGGATAAGGAAAGGATAAGACAGGATGGAAGAGTTGGGGTTGTCTCCAGGGAGACCTTAGAGCACCTTCCAGTGCCTCAAGGGGCTCCAGGAAAGCTGGGGAGGGACTTTGGACAAGGACTTGTAGTGAGAGGGCAAGGGGGAATGGACTGAAACTGGAAAAGGGGAGATTAAGGTTAGACATTGGGACAAAATTCTTTATTGTGAGGGTGGTGATACAGTGGAACAGGCTGCCCAGGGAAGTTGTGGAGGCCCCATCCCTGGAAGTGTTCAAGACCAGGTTGGATGGGGCTTGGAGCAACCTGGTCTAGTGGGCGGTGTTCCTGCCAATGCAGGGGGGTTGAACTAGATGATCTTTAAAGTCTTTTCCAATTCAAACCATTCTATAATTCTATGATTGCTGGGTCTAGCTGCACACTCCCGGCATGTGCAGCCCCCTCTGAAACCACCTAGGAGCAGCCAGAGAGCTGCTCATTTGGCTACAGCTGGAACCAGGCACTTCCTCAGTGTTTGCTGCCACCCATGGTATAGCTGGAAGGGATGGAGGGTGGCATCCTCCCCAAAGCCTCAGCCTGGCATTGCCACCCAGCGCTGCCAGCTATTCACTCTTGGCTGGTGCTGGGAAGGATCTGCTGCCTTGCCCAGGTGTGTCTGCAGGGGGTCTGGAAGCCCTGCCTGCACTGCCAGAGGTGCGGGCCCGGCCCTGCCCTCAGCCTCACCAAGGTGCCACCCCAATCCGGTTGCAAACAGGATGCCAGCCCAACTTTGGCTCCCACTGATTTATCTCAAAAATAACAGCTAACCCGCCAGCAGCAGCCCTTTGGTGCTGCTAAGCCCTGGCAGCTGCCCTGCCCAGGATGTTTTGTGCCAAAAAGGGAAGCAGGCACATGAGCAACTTTGTGGGGTCTGCAGGGAGAGCTGCTTCCCATGCCCTGCTGTGGTCCAGCCCCTCTCCAGCTCTGGCCACACACCCAATTCTTTTATTTGCTGACACCACTGTCTGGGGACCAAGTCTCCCCCAAAGCCCTGGCAGGGGAAGAGACATGGGGAAACTGAAGCAGTGGCAAGGACGGGAGACCCGAGGCACATAGTAATGCACCTGCAGCTGGCAGAGGCACACAGAGGTGCCCCAAACTGTTCCCTCGGGGTCCCTGAGGTCGGTACCCTGCACTGCATCACAGCTCCTGCTGGCTGCCTGGATCCCAGGATCAAGGACAGCGCTGGCAGTAAAGCAAGGGGCCAGCAGCAGTGGGGCATGGCACTGTGCCACTGTGCTGGGGTGTAGCAGAGCTCTGTGGTTTCAGTGCCACCCTGGAGCCCTCAGAGGCCAACTGCTGCTCTGGGGCCCGATGCTTTTTCCTCCCCAGCCATGTTCCCTGTTTCCTGTTACCTTTTCTCACCCCCTTTCTGCATTTCTGTGTGGCTGAGAGCCCAGATATCCCTGCTGGCTGCAGGCAGTGCTCCCTGCCTGGCCAGAGCAGCGTTGTCTTCCCTGCTGTCCCTGTCCCCCCTGCACAGCGCTGGTGACTGGGGCTACGTGGGACAGGACTGTTCCCCTCCACAGAGGACAGCACTGGGAACAGTGTCCACCTACAGCCAGTGGATCTGGGCACCCTGACCCCCATGTGCCACAGAGGTGCCAGCACGGTGCTGGAGGCTCAAAGCCAGGCCAGTGGTCAGGGCTAGCTCTGCCCTAGTGTGGGGGTCAGAAGCCTCCAGTGCCCAGGGCCAGGCCATTGGACCACAGGTAATGCTAGATGGCACCAGTACAGGGCAGGGAGCTTCCTGTGGGTGGGTAGGTGCTGCCATCTGCAGAGGGTCCCACATAAATGGAGGAGCTTGGCCACCCTGTGAGGAAGTTCACTGAGAGGTGCTCAGGGGTCCATGGAGGAGATGGGCTACTGTCTCCCTGGGGCTGTGCTGCCCCATGGCACACTGCTGAGTCTCTCTGCTGGTCGCTTTTGGGATTTTATGGCCTGGTTTACCATGACATCACACCTCATCAGTATTTCAAAGCCAGAGAAATGCCATCAAACCTCAGGGTGACCCCAACTGCCCCCAGGTTTCTTCTGACAGTGGGGTGCAGGTATAAAAATCAGCCCTGGCCACCCCCTGCCCCATTCCTCTTGATGCCAGGCAGCACTGCTGCCCACACCCCTGCCTGCAAGCCCTGTAGCCCTTCCTAAACAGCTGTCCTCCTCAGGGCACAGAGCAGGGGCAGCACTGTGCCTCTCTTCCACTGTGTCAGCTGGGCATCCCTTGGCATAGTGTTTCACCCAGAAGTTTTTTGAATAATAGCATTTTGTGGCAGGACAAGGGGAGCTTTGTAAGTGCCAGGCAGCTGTCTCAAAGCCTGCCTGAAACAGTCACCCTTAGCAACAGCATTCAGGACTGGGGCAGCCAAAAGAGTTATTTACAGCTCCCAGCTCCATTTGGCCCTCAGAGCCTCGTGGAGAGAGAGATGGTTAGAGATAGGTGGAGGAAAGGGGTGGATGAAGGAGGGAGGGAGCTACAGACAACCAGGGGGGACAGAGGGACAGGTGGTGAAATACAGAGGACCA